AAAATTATTCAGCTGTCAGACAGATGATGAGTTAGAGATTACAACACACCTATAAATTTAGATATCTATTATTTATTTACAGGACTAACGGTGTGGATAGTTCCTCTGGCCGCCACCAGGAGTCGGAGTGACTGCACCGCCAGATGGAGCTCTCGGAAGGGCGGCGCGAGGTACTGAGTTATCAAGTCCGTGTACTGGCAAAAGGAGGCTATGGCTTCTTCTCTTTTGCCTTCGTCCAAGTTCTTGCAGCCCGAGACGTAATCTGGAAGGATAATGGGTTGTGTCAGTTGCTTGTTTTTTTCGTGTATTTTTTTCCCGTTCGTACTCTTACACTCACTGCAGGAAGAACAACGAAGGGAAGTTCAGGAAAACATACGAATATGCACGAAGGCCTTTTCGCATTTACTGCTTCATCAGGGCATACATTACAAGAGATACATAGAAGTATATATACAAGTACTGGGCGGTCAGGTCACGTTGGTGATCAGGTGAGCGACGACCTTGGCTAGTTCGTGGCTCCCCGTAGCGGTGTTGAAGTTGTTTGTTGAGTGTATGTATGCCGCTCCCACCATCTTCCTTTGTCGTGGGGGCAGGCCTTGCTTAATGATGGAGGCCTGGGACCACTTGGGGAGATGGCCGTCGGTGTCGACGTGAACGACGAAGGCGCTCCTCGTGTCGTGTCGTCGGAGGGCGCCGCGATGTTGGTCTATTCGTCGTTCGTGGAGGCCACGTCCTGTCTCACCTATGTAAACTTTATCGCAGCCGCCGCAAGGAATACTGTAAACCTGGCTGAGAGGTCTGTTGTGGTCTGACCTCTTTTCCCTTACGATGTCTCCGATCTTTTTACCGGACGTGGTGGCTATCTTCATCGTATGGCCCAACAGGGCCTCCAGGTGATGCGTCAGCTGCGAGTGTGGGATGATGATCCTGTGTGTTTTGTTCTGTGTTGCGTCCCCTATTGATCTGGACATGATCTTTTCTGCCTTGCATCGGAGGTGGGCGAGCAAAGTGCGAGGGTAACGCAGGCGTTGGAAGGTGTTGACGTGTTGCATTTCTTCCTCCAGGTATTCCGGGCTGCAGATTCTAAGAGCTCGGAGGAAGAGACCAATGATCACGCCTTCTTTGGTTCTATTGCTGTGGGCGGAGAAATAGTGTATGAAATCATCTTTATTATTGGGTTTTCTGTATACAGAGAATACCGGACCGTCTGATCTCCTATGGATTATGGTGTCGAGGAAAGGCAGCTGTTCGTTTCTCTCCTCTTCTGTGGTGAACTGTATCGATGGGTGCACGGCGTTCAGTCTGTGGAGGAGGTTTTGAAGGTCAGTTCTAGTGGGTAATATAGCGAGGATGTCGTCTACGTAACGGAGCCAAACTATGTTCCGGTAGTGGTCTGCCTCGAGGGTTTCCATGAACAGCTGGGCGAGGACTGCAGTACTTGTATATATACTTCTATGTATCTCTTGTAATGTATGCCCTGATGAAGCAGTAAATGCGAAAAGGCCTTCGGCATATTCGTGTGTTTTCCTGAACTTCCCTTCGTTGTTCTTCCTGCAATTTGTTTGACATGAATTCCATACGTGTCTTACACTCACTCACTCACTCACTCACTCACTCACTCACTCTCTCTCTCTCTCTCTCTCTCTCTCTCTCTCTAATATATAGTTTGTCACCGACGTAATGTTGTAGTGAGTTCGTGTGATGGCACTGGTTTGATTCTTGAGGTGTAGTAGTTATAGTTGTCGCAGGTTTAGTATTTATTAACACGGGGGTATGGTAGCTAGGGTACAGAGGACAGGCCTGGCAGAGACGTCCAGGGAGGAGCGTCGTGTCAGGCTCGACTACCTAGACATTTCTATGAACGTTTTGAAATATTTCTTAATGGAAAACATGGAACTAGTGGGATACACTTCTTGTTATATATTACTTAATTTTCTTTTTTCACAAAACATAAGGGCATTTGAATATCAATAATAATAGTGATTACATACTTAGTGATTCAGAAAAAAGGATTTTCTAACGAGCATTTTGAATATAAACAAGACATAATCATAAACAAAGACATCAGAATAACAGCGAAGGAATTGTTTACAAGCAATAAGGATTGAATTAGCGTGTTCTAAGTTCACTTTTCATTGTCACGGCTGTAGATCTGTTGGAGTCGGCTGAGGACAGTGAAGTTACTGTAAGATAAGAAACACGGTACTTTTCTGGTATGTGAGGCGAGAGAGATCACGAAAACAGGTCACTATACTCACTCTCTCTCTCTCTCTCTCTCTCTCTCTCTCTCTCTCTCTCTCTCTCTCTCTCTCTCTCTCTCTCTCTCTCTCTCTCTCTCTCTCTCTCTCTCTCCTCCATCCCATTCCCTCGCTCTCTCCCTCTACATCTCCTCCTCCTCCTTCCTATTCTTCTCTTCCCTTTCCTTCTCCTCCTTCTCCCTCTCTCTACCCCCTTCTCCCTATCCTCCCTCCTCTCTCACTCCCCCTCTTACCCCTCTCCC